AGGTTCATAGATACCTCGGAGCTGCAAGCCGTAAGCCCTGAAAGCTAACCAAACATACCGAACCCCCAAAGCTCCACCTCCACTTAACACCAGAGTTTAGAGGCTTATAGGGGAACCAGTACTAGTAGCAGTTTGGTGCGGTTTTGAGATTGACGTCAGAGTTGAGGATGTCACCTTTGAAACCCGAAACTATCCGAAGTTGAGCTCGGAACTCGGCGTTCCATTGCCCGATCGTCCAGACCACCCAGAACAGGATGAAGTTGTTCGAGCGAGTGGTTCGAGCTTGTACACCCGCAACCAGGCCTCGCCTGAACCCTGCCCGATCATCAGTCGTGTAAGTCCGCCACTGGGCGCTCGGCAGCCGGATACGCGAATTCTCTGGAGTCTGAGTTTACGATCATCAAACACTGAGGCAAAAGTGAGGTCAGGGTGTCGCTAGTGCCTTTTGTAGACGTTGATCAAGGCTTTAGGACCGTTCAGCAGCTCAAGTCGTCGACTTCTCCAATCCTCGACATCAGCGCAGAACCAAAACATGCCCTGTTTCCTTTTGCAGCCCCAGAGCTCGCTGAAGGTGCCGCAAGCGTTTCAGGGAGTCTGGTCCTCGGCCGTGAGCCCTTTTTAGGGTCTTCTGGGCCTAGGGTTGCGCAGGGTTAGCCGGTGAGGCTTTTTGAGCACTTTTTCTTTGTTCTGCACTTAGGAACTATTTTGCAAGTCTAGTATAGCATAAGCCCAAAGATCTATGGAACATCTTATGCTGTTTTGGACCTAGGGGGCGTATAATTTCAAGTCAAACCGTTTAGCCTTTAAGGCTTGAGGATGAAGGGCCTAGGGGGACTAGGGGTTGAGTGGGTTGAGGCTGCAGACTTTTAGGGGGTTCAGGGACCAGGGCTTGCTAGCTCAGGATGCAGGAGCTTCAGGGGTGCTTTGGGCTTTCGAGGATGTGTCTCGCGCGAGGGGTGTGTATTCAGGTCTTAGTGAGTCTTCATACATGTGAACGATCCCTCTGTTTGAATCACAGTAGTTGGGGGCTGTGCAGGGGATATGCAGGGCGTCTGTTAGCCGCAATAACCCCGAACCCTAAGCAGAAGTGCATGATGTCTCGTAAATTGGTTCGGGGGCTTCGGACTCCCGGGTCGGCGCAGAGGGTCTCGGAATTCATTGTGCCGACCTTCGGACCCATCTGCTTGGGCTCAACAGGAACGCGGCTATGACATCGACCCGTACGAACGCGGACCTCCGATGGCCGGGAGGGCCGAGAGTAGGAGAGCCTACACCCGAACAGTGAGGAGATTTGGTGTGGGCTTCAGGTAGAGCAAAAATGGCTTGTTCTGTAAATGAGGGGTCTCCTTTTCTGTCCCAAAAAAATGCGACACGGTTATGACAAGGACCCTAAATGCCACCCCAAATAAGAGAACTACCCATACCGGTGTTACCTGCGGATTTGACACAAGCCGTTGAGCTCTGAATGCAGAGACTGGCGTTGCTTTTTGTCATCTCCCAGGGCCCAAAAACCAAAGCTGGAATGGGCTCAAAAAAAGGGGCAGGCCCTCAATAGTTAGTAATGACATCCTCTTATAGCCCCTATATGCTTGTGGCAAACACACGAGACCCCTTAGAGATGGGTTTATCAAAGAATGGAGTACTGCAGATCCTGCTCTTCACCTTGCCGTCTTTCTGTCCTATCTCCTGGCATTTGAAGGATACCCGAACGGAGAATCTAGCAGCTAGCAGGCTCTCTAAACCGAAAGACAATTCATTCATTCTGTTGGGGGATACAACAAAGAAGCAGGCGGCAGAAACGGTAGGTGACAGCTGCAGCGCCGAAGCTCATGAGTATGTCGAGTTTCTAACGTTTCATACCTCAGTGATGCCCGGCAGCTAACGCTACAGTACCTGACAAAAGTCGAAGGATAAGTTCGTGTTTCGGACCTGTTTAGGACCTATGACGGCTTAGTGCTTAGGTTTAAAGGCTTAGGGTTTGTAAGGGGCCTTGCTTAAACTATACAGGGTCTAGCATCAAATTTGCTTACCTCCTTTCTGCAGGCGCTTTGAGTCTGTTCAGTTCCGGTCTTATCAAAACTCGAGAATCTGAAAGTTGATGTTGTTGATCCTGTTTTTTCGGGTGAGTCCCTCCCAGCGCCACGGCAAGTTGGCAGAAGCCTTCTAGCGCACTAATGATGCTTGAAGAAATTAGCTTCAAAATGCCGTGTAGCATGTCACTGTAGCCACTGCCGCTAAACCAAAGACACAATGCAGGGGAATGCAGCAGTAGTGGCAACACTACTATTCCATGGTCAATAGCGAGAAGAAGAAGCAGGCCAACTAACACGATTATGAGTAACGGCAATATTTCTTGGAGTTCTTTTGGCTCTTCGACTTAGCACTTTAACGTTGTGGATCTCTTGATCTGCTACAAAACAGAGGCTACAAGTGTTACTTTTATGAGCTGTGCGGAACTCAGCCAGGATCCGTAGCTGTAGTGAGACGAGGTATATGAATAAGAAGACCACAGCCATGACATGTTTGAGATCAAGCCAGAGTATAGACAGCGCAATGCGATCAGCAACCCGAGCAAAAATCGCAGTCATCGTCATCTATTTTCTTGTTAGCCTGAATCCTACATCTGAAAACACCCCTATGGCGCCCAACTCTGACGGCGATTCGTTCCAGGCCGTTGACCGGCGTGGCGACCGGGGCATGCGGGCCCGACTTCCCAAAGGGTTTTGCGCAGCAAGCCAGTATTGCTTACTGCTGTTGTTTCCGGCCCCCCGCTGCACCGATTTGAAAGAAGGCTTCCTTTTTGGGGAAGCCCCTGTGTCATCACGGCAACTGCTGCCAGCTTCACACTTCGAGCGTGAACTTTAAAAGCTTCCCAACGGCTTCACTTACTTGACATTGCCTCGCCGAGGGACGAGATGACTTCGACATGCGCATGGCAATGGGACGAGGCTTTTACAAAGGGGCCTAGGGTGGTCGTTTGGTAGTGCAGGGTCGGACTCGCTCAGGTGTTGCGGGCTTCAGGGTTCGAGCTTGGGGTTTAGAGTTCACGGGGTTTGGGGCTTCGGTTTAGGACTTCCAGCTGACACCACCCACGAGCTGATGCGTTTAGTAAGTGTATGTGAGCTTCCATTATGAGGGGGCGGGGCGCATTTGGGAGCATACTGCACCATGATCATCGGGTATACTACTTGCGATCACGTTTATGAAGCCAGCACCGGGAGAAGCTTCGGTGGTTTGTGTTTGTCAGGGCAAGGGCACGGCTCGGTGTCAGCTCTGGCTATGAAAGCTTAACTGTCCTAGAGATTTGAATCAGGGGTTCGTGAAAGAAGCTTAGTGTTCTGTCCCTGAGAAGTGCAACAGTTTGAATGCCAACCGAGGTAGGATTCCGGGCCTTGCAGTTGTAGCTGGTAGGGCCTGGTACTCCGGAATTGTTGGCGTCAGGGCCACTTGAGACTGCGGAGGTGCCATTGTTTCTGTTTTAAGGTTCAGGGCTTGGTTTCAAGCAAGACTGTCAAGCTCAGAAGATATGATAAGAGGAATAGTGATGCCGATGGTAGTAAAACAGTAGGACTTCTTCGGCATCGGGTTTGGGCTGTAGGTTTAAGGCGCAACAACCCAAAGTTTTCTACGTTGTCAAGCTCAAGCTTTGCCAAATTCTTGTTCAGCAAGAGTTCCGAAACACGACTCCCTGAACCCGACACACAGAGCCATCAGCAAGTTGGGCTAGAGGTTTGGAATGTTGAATTGTGGAATTCTCTATTTGGCAACAGAGTCAAGACGCTTCCCTGCTCCACAGGGTAAAGTATCACCAGGCCTTGCGGAGACTGAAACCGGTAGTGTGGATGCTTGTATTCTTGAAGCAGAAATGGTATAGACGGTATAGCTTTGGCGTTCTTTCCGGGGTTGGTCTCAAAAAGAGTTTCGAGTGTCAGGCACCAGCGTTACCTCTTCAAGCGCATGACCCAGAATTCTGAACCCGTAAATTGTAAAAACCAAGCTCAATGCGCAGTTACCGTCTGCAGGCTCACCGTCCATGCAGATGCCACCGTCCCCGAACGCGAGAGACCCGTGCCACGAAGAATTTTGAGTTTGTATGCAGGTTTGCATATACAGCATTCGGCACAGTTTGGTGTCCAGGACGCCAGGGGCCGGAGCCGCGAAAGCCACTGGGGTCTAGGGTTTCGGGCCCATTGTAAAGGCTCGGCAAAAATGGCTTGTTGCATTGCGAAGCATTATTTGCAGTGCTATTCAGGTGTGGTTTCTGGGGCAGTTCATAGTTTGTCGCATGCTCTCCCAGACATCTTCACCCAGCAGCATTAACTTTCCTTGGTTTCAAGTCGGAAGCAAGGTGCGACAGATTCAGAAGGATCTGCAAACACGCAGGTGAGAAGGTTTAGGTGTTAGTGCTACATGTGACTGCAGTTCGGAGCTTGATTGTGCTTCAGCGGCGAACAAAGAACGCCTCCTGAACCCCAAAGGTGGAGCAATTACGGCTCACAGCCCTGAAGCTCTGTGCTCTTTAAAGCCTACGCTAAGTTAGTGATGACCATTTCTATTTTCTAACCATGCATCCCCCCCTAGTCCCCAAACCATAACAACCTATACCTCAACCCTCATCCCGCCAAAAACCCCATACAATACTCCTAGGATGGAACCACCAGAAGACCCATAGGAAGAACCCCCATAGAAAACCCCATACAATACCCATACCATGTAACCACCGGACCCATAGGAAGGAACCCCCCATAGAAAAACCCATATTCCCAACTCTACACCCGTAACCCGCGAAAATGGAAATGGTCATCTCTANNATAATAGGATTTAGGTTTAGGGATAAGGTCGCGAACATCAGAACCGCCATCATGCTGAGGTTCGCTCAAGACCAGCAGGCAATCGCACAATCACGGACAACATGCACACACCAAACAGTTTGATTTTGTAGACAGAATGGTTCGTCGCATTCTGCGTCGACATGGCACCCTCCGTCGAGCCGTGCTGATATGGTCGTTGGTTTGCGGAGTGGCGTGGGTTACGGCTTGGAGCAGGCGGGCCTTTTCCCTAGCGCGACCGGAACTACCAGATTGGCCGGCCAAATTGAACAAGGCAGAGAAAGAATACGATGAAACGAAGCAAAAATTGGAGGAGGAATTCAAGAAGGAGAACCCCAGTGACAAATACATCAAGTTCCTACAGCAGGTTATGCAAAACTCGCAGAAGCGCTTAGACTTTGCCCAGCAGATGCTCCTGCAGAAGCAGTCGCAACCATCTGAGGCGCAACCGGGTTGAACATACCCCGTTTTTTCCCCAGTAGGGTTAATTTGTTCGCTTAGGGGTTTGCTCCTTGCTAGATTCCGTGCTTAGAGTTTTGGGTGCTTTATGGTGTTCGTTCCTGTGTTGCGAGGACAAGATCACGGAGGACGTCATCGACCAGAAAATTGAGGGCAAGGACTGGCGCTTGCCAGAGAACCCAGATGTCAGTCCCCGTTTCAACAGAGAGAAAGAATTGGAGCAGATTAAGAACTACATAACCAATCCGTGCGACTTTGCCAACAAGGATGGTTTGTTCAACCTGCTGGGCACATCTGGAATGAAGGGCATCGGGAAGACCCAGTTGCTGTTGAATTCTTTACAGGCTGTGGAGAAATTGTCTAACACCAAGGCTGTGTATTTCACCTTCAATCGACATGGTGATCTGAAAGAGAAGTTTCAAGAATCGCGTCGACAAGGGCATAGTCATGCTAAGGCATTGGGTCATGCAATCCTCACTGCGTGCTATGTGCCCGAAGAGTTGGCCATGACATGCAATTTTGATGAATGCCTCGAGCTCGTGTCCGCAAGCAGTGACGAGCGACTGGTCATTTTCATCGATGAGCTTGGTCTGCTTGATGCATATGAAAAAGAACCAGTGGTTGTGCCACTTCTTCGATCCTTGATGCGGTGCATGAACAAGCGAAAGGGCAAACTCGTTTTTGTCTTCTCGCATCTTCTTGAAGAGATGTTGAAGCGCGGGGCAACTGACGAGAGTGGTCGCAAGATTGATGGAATACCTTTGGTTGCTTTGGACATTGACATCTGGAGAACGAACTCCGGCTTCAGCGCATGGGCAGAAGCGGCGCGCAAGCACGCTGGTATTCATCAGTTGTTGCTGTCCTGCGCTGGTCATCCCCGTTGTCTCTTCGAGGGCTTGAAGGTGGTTGAGGACTTGTGCAAGTCGCCACCTCAGACGGCAATCGCTTACGACCGAGCTCGACAGCAAATTATCAACGAGTGCAAGTTCGACGGCATGGAATACACACTTGAAGAAAGCATGCTGATGCAACGGTTCAGTCCGCTGGAGCAGATGAACGAGACTGCCCTCGACCGTGCCGGCTTGCTGGTTCGTGTAAAGACAGGTCTTGGCAAGGAAACTGCAAGCTTCCTTCATCCTCTCGTTCTGAGCTGGTGGGCACAGAAGAACAAAAAGTCCTCACGCCTCGCTAAGCACCTTTGCCATGCCTACGAGTTCGATGCCGAACTTGCAGAAGGTTCAGAGAAGCGGATGGAAGGGGTCATGTTCTACTACGAGGCGGTGCGTCGGATTGCGCTTGATGGCAAACCCATTGAGTTGAGCCAGTTCTATGTCACCGACTATATCGGCGACAATTTCAAAAAGATGTTGCTGGTGGGAGCGCTCCCTCAGGGTGGGGGCAGACTGGTAGAGTTTGTGAAGGACTTCAGCGACGTGAAGTTGGTCATCGACTGGCTGAAGAAGGGTGCCATAGTAGTCTCGCAGAAGCAGTCCGAAGAAGGCGTGGAGTATCTCACGCCATGGCGGCTGAATGATGCGGAAGGCAAGCTCGTGGTTGCCTGTGTCCAATGCAAGTTTGTGAAAGACAAGGTCCCGTGGAGCAAGGTCAAGAAGCACATGCACTCTGCCGTGGAACCCCTGAAGCAGAAGAAGATAGAGGTTTTCCCAGTGATTTATGCCACGCCTGACCAAGACACCATTCAGGAAAGCACTTACAACGATGGTGTCTACTTTAACGAGGTCAGCATTTTCAAATTCACGAGCAAGTTGGGCATCCTTCGGCTTCACACCGAGAAACTCGGCAAGAGCCTGCAGAAGGAAGTGCCCGTGCTCAACCGCTCCAGAAGCGAGGTTGCAGATTAGACCTGTGTTTTCGTGATGACTTCAACAAATTTCGCCGAAAGCCGGACACAGCACTTGCTCCAAAACAAGTTCCACTGCATACCCAAGCTTGAGGTTTTTAGCGTTTTGTAAGCAGTCGGGTAGAGTTTTGTAAAAATTTTTCCGAATGGATTTTTTTCAGTGGTCGGTTTAGCGTTTAAGAATATTCCGAGTGGATATTTTTCAGTGGTCGGTGTAGAATTTAAAAATTTTCTGAGTGGAATTTGTTCAGCGCCCATGGTGGAATTTGCAAGTGTTCCTGATGGGGTGACCGTTTTGGGGTTTAGGATGACGTTTCAAGCAACTATCAAACCTTTAACAACTCAAAACGCAAATACTGCTTATCTATGCCCTCTACATAATAATATTTTTGACCTAATTTACCTTCAACTTTCTCTATTGTATAAATATTTTGACTATAATTTCCAACTCGTTCTTTTTCATTTGGTTTTCGCTTCCTAAATATCTTAACCTCATCCCCTACATCTAGTTCGGGATATACACGGTTCTTCTTTCC